AAACATGGAATCTTGCCATTTGCAGGGATGTGGATGGAACTAGAGGGTATCATGCTAAGTGAGATAAGCCAATCAGAGAAAGACAATTATAGAATCTCACTGATATGAGGATTTTGAGAGGCAGGGCATGGGTTTGGAGGGGGAAGGGAAAAATGAAACAAGATGGGATGGAGTCGGGGGGCTGGTGGAGAGGAACCATAGGAGATTCTTAATTTCAGGAAACAAACTGAAGGCTGCTGGGGGGTGCGAGAGGAGGGACAGAGTGGCTACATTATGGACATTGGGGAGGGTATGCGCTATGGTGAGTGCTGTGAATTGTGTAAGACTGATGATTCACAGACCTGTATCCTTGAAACAAATAATACATTATATGTTAATAAAAAATTAATTAAAAAGTAAAAAATTAAAATTAAAATAAAAAAAGAAAGAATGTACATCTCTAAAAGATAAAATTAAATTACTGTCCCTAAGTTAAATATCTGAAGGAGAAAGGGAGCAGATGTTTCAGAAAGGGAGAAAGAAAGTCAATGTTTAATGACAACCAGCATGGATGGAGAGTAAGATAACTTGGTCCAGAGTCTGCTCTACCATGAGGTAGGGAGTCACTAGGAAATTCATTTACTTTTTTTTTTGCTCAGTTTCCTCTATTACAAATTTTCTCCAAGAGCAGTGCTCCCTTTCTGCCAAAAAACAAACAAACAAAAAACCCCAAACAAACAAACAAAAACCTCACTGCTTTATTAGTCATGCATTTATTTAACATTCATTCAATACATAGCAAATCTTGATAAAGGTGGGTTTGGGCTCTGGACAGTCTGCCTAGATGAGTGCTTATGGAGTACCTTCAGAGTTGGTTTTTTGTTACTTTTTATTTTAGTGATTTATAAAACTTAGGTTTGTATTGGTTATTCTGACCTATAACACCTAGAGAAACTTTGTAGAAGTGTTTAGTAGCTTGAGTTAAAAGAAGTTATCCACAGAGAAAGACAACTATCATATGATCTCCCTGATATGAGGGAGAGGAGATGCAACATGGGGGGTTAATGTGGTAGGAGAAGAGTAAATGAAACAAGTTGGGATTGGGAGGGAGACAAACCATAAGTGACTCTTAATCTCACAAAACAAACTGAGGGTTGCTGGGCAGAGGGGGGTTGGGAGGGGTTATGGACATTGGGTAGGGTATGTGCTATGGTGAGTGCTGTGAAGTTTGTAAACGTGGAGATTCACAGACCTGTACCCCTGGGGGAAAAAAAAATATATATATATATATATATATGTTTATAAAAAATAAAATTATAAAAAAAAAAAAAAGAAGTTATCCAGAAGAACAAGGGACAGGAGACTCTTACATGTTGTATTTCTGAAATCTAAAGTGTATACATATGTGTATGTGTGTATACACACAACACATAGTCTAAAGTATATATATATATACATATATATATATACATATATATATGTATTTAAGATTTTATTTATTTGACAGAGAGAGAGAAAGAGATTACAAGTAGGCAGAAAGGCAGGTGTGTGTGTGTGTGGGGGGAACAGGTTCCTCGCTGAGCAGAGAGCCCAGTGTGGGGCTCAATCCCAGAACCTTGAGATCATGACCTGAGCCGAAGGCCGGGGCTTAACCCAATGAGCTACCTAGTCACCCCTATATGTGTGTATTTTAAAGATTTATTTATTTTAGAGAGAGCGTGAGCACATGCAAGTGGGGGGAGGGGCAGAGGGAGAGAATCTTTAAGCAGACCCCCCAATGAGCATGAAGTTGGACAGAGGGCTCTATCCCACAATCCATGAGATCACAACCTGAGCAGTAACCAAGAGCTGGCCGCTCAACAAACTGAGCTACTCAGACACCCCTGAAATCTAAAGTGTATTTAGATGATGTTTCACAGCTGAGAGGAAATGAGCCTTTTGACTGAACTTATGTGACCTTGTTCAGGACTGGCTGGCTCCAAATGAATTTCCTTTTATTTCAAAGTTGGCAACAATCTGGCTTTCTGGCATCAGAAGATGAGCTCTTACTGATCTTAGAAAAGAGAGACTACTACAGTACTGGGAACAAATTGATATAGACATCTATGGTTGAGGTACTAAGTACATGTAGATATAAGACACACCACAGGGCTCCATGAGGAGTCATCTGGCCTCATTTGGGCAGAAAAGAGAGAATTATTATAAGATAATTGCAAAATATCTACCATATGACACTTTCTTTTTCTCCAGGCCTTAATTTCTTGGGATATGGTAATTTCTGGAACATTATGGAAAACACATAGTGATCAACATTGTCTTTGAGTTCACTGATAGAAAGATCTCTGAGGCATAGCAGGTTATGGCAAGAGAGCAGACCTGGAGCTGCCCTCAGTGTAAGCGATCTCTATGCCATTTTCCCTGTCTGCTGCAGTCATGCTTCTGGATGAGAATGACTCCCATGTGCTGCACAGGAGTTCACCAAAGTTATAGGTAGAAACTGTAAGTAGAAAAGAATCTTCCAAACTATAAAGTTAAGTCTTTTAGCCACGTTTTCTCTTAGGTACATGCTACATGTGTATAAATAAAAGTCTACATTAGAAAACATGTTTCTAAATGATCCTCCAAAGCAGATATTTAATGCTTTTTATAATATACATTAGCAAAGAATTAGTACAGGGTTAAGGATAATTTTACTTCTACATTAATTTTGTTTATAAACGAATTTGATTATTATAGCATTATGAATCTAGAAAATATTAATAATCAGTTTTACAATAATACCTTTTTGTACCCAAAAGATATCTTAGAAGTCTTGTTCTCACACCCAAGCTCAAATGCTATGATTTTCTGTCCAAAGATTCATTTTCTTACACAATCCAATCAATTCTCCCCATGGCTGGGCACTTTCACTACTCCTGCTGCCCAGGATGACCTGACAGCACCCCCCCGGGCCACCGCTCCCCAGTCAGACTTAATCAGTCACAGGTTGGTCCTAACTCAATTTTATCCTCTTTCTTTCAGCTCCATACTCTCTACAACCCTGACATGTTTGGGATTTTATATCTCATGATGTTATTCTTTTTGTCCACCTGTATAACTGTCAGCAAGTAAGAAGGCTCAGTTTCCTCATCTGTGAAATGTGACTAGTATCATCTAGCCTCAACACTGTATAATTTCATGTGTGCTACAGGAACACAGCACACATAATGCATATTTAACTACATCGGAATAACAATGCTATTTTCTTATTTTTGAGGTTTATGCCCATCCTTTTTTCAATCCACAATTTAGCACAGTCTCATTTGATATGTCCCAGCATATGTTCTAAGGTACAAATCCAAAACATTCATAATGCTAGCCATTGGCAGCAATTCACCAGAAGTTAGCTTCCAATTCTTCTTTTTGCTTAACAAGTAAAACAAGTACCCCCAAAGGAACTAGAGGGACAGGATTCAAGGTGTCCATTCCTTGTGATTACTCATAAGGAAGGAACCTTGCTGTCAATTTCACCTTGCCTTCTCATCATTGTGACTCAGTCCTTGCTATCCCCAGTCTCCTCTGAGTGTCTGGTCTGTGTGCTGGTCTGGAGAAGCTTTAGATCATCATCGCTTAGGTTATTCAGTAGTTCCTTCTCCAAAGCCTAATGCTGGATACATTCCATGAAAAATGTAAAACAAAACAAAACCTATGTCTGATCTATAACTGGCTCAGATAATTTTATTTAGGTTTACCACAGATTTAAGTTAAAGACTACGAGACTTGTCTACGCCTACAAGTTAAAAACCCTACAACTGATATAATCATCTCAGACATACACATATTCCAAACAAAATAAAATAAAAATTTTTCCTATAAATCCAAAAGAAATATTCTCTAATTCTACACCTAAAAGAGACTTTTTGGAATTCAAAAGACTTTCAAATAAAGTGCCACCTACCCAAAGAAGATTCATAATTAACACAGAAATGTTTCTTGTCACTTATTCTGAATGGTATCAGAAGGCTCTATAAGAATAGGATATTGTTGTAATTACTGTTTCTTAAATATGTGTTTTATTTTAAGAGCAGATATAAAAAAAGAGTACATATAAAAAAAGTTGATGAACTGGCATCTATACTTTTAATTTCTGTTATATTATAAGTCCATCTCATTGCTTTAAGGGCAGTTTCACTTAGAAATAAATATAACTTCAAAAGGCTATGCCAAGGCTATGACGTAAATAAACGCTTCAGTCAATGACATGACTACAGCTATTTGAAAAAATACAGGAAGGGCCTAAATACAAGTTAAAGAAGGTATCATTCTCATATTTAGTATGAGCAAAGTACTTTGAATTTGGTTTGGCTCATGTAGCTCATGTACATGTGCTACATGTACATGTGCTACAAGGTAGCTACTAGTCACACGGGGCCACTTAAAATAGTTAAATTTTAATTTAAAAGTTAATTAAAATTAAATAAAACTTGAAATTTAGTTCCTCAGTCCTATTAGCCATTTCTGAGTGCCCAGTAACCGTACGTGGTCAGTGACTACCTCGCTGAATAGTACAAATACATAACATTTATATCATTGCAGAAAGTTCTATTAGGTAGTGCTGACACAGGTTAGAAAAGCACTCTTTGAAAGCCACAGATTCACTAACTGCCATTTATTTATTTAGATTTTTAAGGTATATAAACCTTGACAGATATTGCAGTGGTCTTTTTAGGTATGGTTAACCACATGTCCTGGCTTTTATGGAAGAATACCAGTATTTCTTGTCTATATTACTTTCAATAGCATGAACCATTAAAGGTAAAAGTAAACACAACAAATTAAATTTTTAGTAGAACTTTTTATATTAAATAAACAGACTCTTTTGTCAAACCACATGGCTCAAATTTTGATGCAAGAAAAAAACAACAACAACAAAAAGAAAACTCAAGTATATGGTGAATGCAGCCAAGAGTCTCTTTCTCTAGTAAGAGTCTCTACTTTCTCTAAGTGACTCTAGCACTCATGCCTGTATCTTAATTACTCACCTAACTCTGGGTGGGTCTGAGTCATGTGGAGCAGCTGAGCCACCTCCCTGCTGATATCTGTAGGGAAGACAGTAAACTCTCTGTACCACCACTCGAACCCCAACTCCTGACCATGGGGCAGCTCCCTGGCTTTCCACTGCATCCAGAAGAGAATCCCTCAGGGGAGCTTGGGCTGGAAAGCACTGTTTTGCTTCTTCATGTCCATGGGTACAGTCTGTCCTTATGGTAGTGAGACCACTATACATAACCTGGCCAAGACATGCAGAGGGAGCAATTTCAGTTTAACTCATAACAGCATGGTACATTCCAAATCATGACTTTCTGAGGCAATCTTCTGATGTAACTGCAGAATACCAAAGGAACGATGAAGATAAAACATTGCGTGGGCCTCTGTGTCTGCCAGGTAACTAATACTATTGAGGAGGGCAGGGTGAACAAGATAACATGGGAACAGCAAAGAGTGTTTCTAATCAATAGAAGCACAGATCTTCTTGGGTCTTTGAAAAGATGTAAAGTCCTACTATTACAATACTTCATGGTAATTTAGAAAATTTTTCTTTTATGAGGTAAACAATCCCAACAGGACAAACTAAAAAACAAAAGAATGACCAGGGTTTCAAAATTAAGTCACTATTAAGTTCTTGGTGTGTGCAGTCTACTAGGCTAGCTCATGTAGCCTCCTAACAACCCTTTACAATAATATTAAATATCACAATAACACTTCTAGAGCACATTCCAGGCAGTTTTCTTTATGTACTATACTTGCATAGCGAACATATTTAACTTTGTAACTACCCAAGTGGATAGATTATATCATTATTACCATTTTAAAGATAAAAACATTGAAACACAGAAAGATTATGAATCTTGCCCAGTGTTACTCAACAATAAATGACTGAGGCAGAATTTGAACCAGGATATCTGGTTCCAGAGCCTATATTCATAACCATGATGTTACACAATGGCTTCATTGTCACTGTTGTCAGACAAAAATGTTATCTTGAGAATTTAATATTAATAGCTATTTACAACTAAATGTTAAAGCAGGGATGCACTCAGAGTCATAAATTAAATTAATTAGAGAGCCCCCTTTTCCCTATTATCCCCTTCAGATACTTCTTTTGATAATTTAGGGAGAGTAGGCTTGTTGACATATTTACAAACAAGATGAAAGTTTGTCTATTTTTCTTTTTCTTTTCTTTTTTTCCTTTAAGATTTTATTTACTTGTGAGAGAAAGAGAGAGAGAGCACAAGCAGGGGGAGTGGCAGCCAGAGGGAGAAGCAGGCTCCATGCTGAGCAAAGAGCCGGATGTAGCTGTGCTGAAGCAGATGCTTAACTCACTGAGCCACCCAGGAACTCCTACTTTTCTTTTTCTTATATCCCCTCATACTATCTGTCAGCCTAAGCATTCTTAGCATTCAAACCAATCATTCAGTGCTGATTCAGCTAACTGGGTAAACCTGAGATGGTACACCTGGAGTCACAGACACTTAAAACCTGGAACGGTCCCTGGAGTGCCCTTCATGCCTTCTATGAGTGAAATTTAGGGGGTTCCCTAAATTTATCTTGACAAATGATCATGACCCAGGGCCAACAAAATTTCAAAAAACAATCTAAGCATATAATTTCAAGTTTGTGCAGCTCTATTTATCCCAAGGATATAGATATTGTGAAAAAGAAAAATATAACTTTTTTATTTAATAAATAAAAAGCTTAAGCAAAATTCTTAGACAATTACAAAATGAGAATAAGAAAGTGAAAAATCATATATTTTGATAGACTAGGATAAAGATTAAAAAAACACAATTAGATAGATGAAATACTGTGAAAAGAAGGCTACTAAATACTAAACCTGGCTTTACCTGGCTTTCAGGTGATATATTTGTTAGATTCCTAAATCTAAATCTCTGAGCCAAAGTGATACTTCTTCTTGGAAGGGCTGTGTCCCAACAGTGCACTTCATGTATTATTTTTGAATCTTCTTTGGCAACAACTTTCTGACAAAAGTAAGTATTCAGAATAACAGGGCAACTTCCACTTGGGACAATAAGCATTTGCCTGGAAAAGAGAAAGAAATGTAACAGTTTACAGTTACAGTTTATTTACAATGTTGGGTTTCCTTCATGTTCTTGCTAAATCAGGAATATAAAGGGCAATGACTCACCTGCTATGGATAGATAAAACAAAGTCAGGCCACAGATGAACAAATGGATAGAGAAAATGTGGTACATATATACATTGGAATATTATTCAGCCATAAAAAGAATGAGATCTTGTCATTTATAACATGAATAAGACTTAGTATTAAATTAAGTGAAATAACTCAGACAAAGATAGGGAAATATCATATGATCTCACTTATATATGGAATCTAAAAAACAACAGAAACAAACAAAAACAGAAACAGTCTCATAAATATAGAAAAACTGGTAGTTGCTAGAGGGGCTGGGCTTGGGGTTGGGGGGATGGGCAAAATGGGTGAAGGGGATTCAGAGGTACAGACTTGCAGTTATAAAATGAATAAGTCATGGGGATGAGAAGTACTACATAGGGGACAGAGTCAATAACATTGTAAAATTTTGTATGATGACAGATGGTAACTATCGTGGTAAGCATTGTGTAATGCACAGAACTACCAAAGCACTATTTTGCACACCTGAAACTAATGGACTATTGTATGTCAGCTATACTTCAATAAAACAAACAAACAGAAGTGGCACCCACCCTCACATGCTCAGGAGTAAATGTCAATAGAATTAATTTTACTTTTCCAGTGCAAGTGTGTGTCAGGAAAGGTGGAATGGAAGAAGGCCATGTCACTGCTTGGGCTTGAGTTCCCTCAGGTCTCCTATTCTGGTAGATGATGGCCTTGGAGAAATGCAGGGAGTGAGCAAAGACTATCAACAGGCTCAAGATTTGTCCAGACATTAAAATAAATGTTATTTACAAATGAAACCTTCAGACACTTTGACAGCTCTAATCTTTCAAAGAACATGACAGCAAGACCCAAAGAAGCTTCTGCCTTCACTGTCAAATAGAACACAGTCACAAAAATGCTTCATATTTAATTTGAAAAGGAATGTGGGAACATAACAGACAAAATTCTCCTGGTTCCGGGGCGCCTGGGTGGCTCAGTGGGTTAAAGCCTCTGCCTTCAGCTCAGGTCACGATCCCAGGGTCCTGGGATCGAGTCCCGCATCGGGCTCTCTGCTCAGCAGGGAGCCTGCTTCCTCCTCTCTCTGCCTGCCTCTCTGCCTACTTGTGATCTCTGTCTTTCAAATAAATAAATAAAATCTTTAAAAAAAAAAAAATTCTCCTGGTTCCTTTCAGACATCTGACTTGACATCTTCAGCACTCATTCCTCAAAGGAGGTAGTGTTACTTAACATTAAGGAAAATTTAGGACTTCTTATTTTGGGAAGGTGGGAATAGACATATTTTCCCTAATTTATCCTATTAAGCACAACTAAAATGCCTAACATTACATATCAACTAAACATAAGACATTGAAAAGTGGAAAGAAGGCGGCACACCAGCCCTAGAGACTTAAGAAACAATAGTGGTGAGTTCCTGGGTTTTCTGTTGCCTCTTATATCCCAGACTTCAAACTGAAGAAGATAGCAACCTGATACAGCGATGGGTACAGATAAAAAAGCCTCTACAGGAGGGTATGTGCTATGGTGAGTGCTGTGAAGTGTGTAAATCTGGCAATTCACAGACCTGTACCCCTGGGGCTAATAATACATTATATGTTTATAAAAAATTATATTAAAAAAAGCCTCTACATCTTTATGTGTCTTCTTCAATTTCTTTCATGAGTGGTCTGTAGTTCCTCGAGTACAGAGCCTTTACCTCTTTGCTTAGGTTTATTCCCAGGTATCTTATGGTTCTTGGTGCTATAGTAAATGGAATTGATCCTCTAATTTCCCTTTCTATATTTTCATTGTTAGTGTATAAGAAAACAACTGATTTCTGTACATTGATTTTGTATCCTGCCACATTACTGAATTGCTGTATAAGTTCTAGTAGTTTGGGGGTGAAGCCTTTTGGGTTTTCCATTTAAAGTATCATGTCATTTGTGAAGAGAGAGAGTTTGACTTCCTCATAGCCAATTTGAATATATTTGATTTCTTTTTGTTGTCTGATTGCTGTTGCTAGGGCTTCTAGTACTATGTTGAACAACAGTGGTGAGAGTGGGCATCCTTGTCCTATGTCTGATCTCAAATGGAACGCTGTCAGCTTTTCCCCACTGAGAATGATATTCTCTGTGGGTTTTTCATAGATAGCTTTTATGAAGTTGAGGAATATTTCCTCTATCCATACACTTTGAATCATTTTAATCAGGGCACTACAGACAAAGGGCTGATATCCAAAATCTATAAAGAACTCCTCAAACTCAACATACACAAGACAATAACCACGTCAAAAAATGGGCAGAAGACATGAACAGACACTTCTCCAAAGACAAATGGCTGACAGACACATGAAAAAAATGTTCATCATCATTAGCAATCAGGGAGATTCAAATCAAAACCACATTGAGATACCACCTCACACCAGTTAGAATGGCCAAAATTAACAAGACAGTAAACAATATGTGTTGGAGAGGATGTGGAGAAAGGGGAACCCTCTTACACTGTTGGTGGGAATGCAAGTTGGTGCAGCTACTCTGGAAAACAGTGTGGAGATGCCTTAAGAAATTAAAAATAGAGCTACCCTATGACCCTGCAATTGCGCTTCTGGGTATTTACCCCAAAGATAGAGATGTAGTGAAAAGAAGGGCCATCTGTACTCCAATGTTCATAGCAGCAGTGGTCATAGTCATCAAACTGTGGAAAGAACCAAGATGCCCTTCAACCGACAAATGGATAAAGAAGATATGGTCTATATATACAATGGAGAATTATGCCTCCATCAGAATGGATGAATACCCAACTTTTGTATTAACATGGATGGGACTGGAAGAGATTATGCTGAGTGAAATAAGTCAAGCAGAGAGAATCAATTATCATATGGTTTCACTTACTTGTAGAGTATAAGAAGTAACATGGAGGACATTGGGAGATGGAGAGGAGAAGTAAGTTGGGGGAAATCGGAGGGGGAGAGAAACCATGAGAGAATGTGGACTCTGAGAAACAAACTGAGGGTTTTGGAAGGGAGAGGGGTGGAGGGATAGGTGAGCCTGGTGGTGGGTTTTAAGGATGGCACGTATTGCATGGAGCACTGGGTATGGTACATAAACAATGAATTTTGGAACACCAAAAAGAAATAAAATAAAATTACATTAAAAAAAAAGATAAGGAAGAAAAATAAGTTTTATTATAAACCACTGGAAAAATAAAATCCTCTACAAAAGCTTACTTTCTTGAACTAAGGGACAGCCTAATAAAATACAAAACTTTTAGAAAATGAATGCTCTACTCTAGCAAACATCACAGAAAACTGTGACCTGCTATCATACACACTAGAAGAGGGTGAGTGTGGAGCTCTGGTCAGGCTGTAATAAAAAGTCTCAATAGCCTAGGAAGGGTAGTGTGAGAGAAGGCAGTCTAGAGTTTTGGGACTTCCATCCCTGCAGGCTTGTAATGAGCCTTCTCTGATCAACCCACAACCCCCAACACACACATACCATGACAGTGGAGACTGCCTGGGGGCCTGGACTTCCACCCTTCCCCCCATCAGTAACCCTGGCTACCCTCTATCCTTATAACATCCTCCAGTCCTCTCAGTGGAAGCCATGTGGGAAGCAGCACCCCTGACCTTCCCAGCAAGGGTGATGTCAGTGGAGGCCTAGCAGGAAGCTGGAACTCACATCTACCTAGCAGTAACAAGGAATCATTCCCCCCTCAGTATTAAGGGAGGCCAAGTGGGGAATTTGGACTTCTTCCTCCACCTGGCAGTAATAAGCTCCCCCAGGTCTCTCCATATCTCCTCTCAGAACAGAGCTCACTAAACAGATTTAAATAAGATCCAGAGTCTCATAATACCTCAAATGTACAGGTTACCATCTGAAGTCACTTCTTTTTTTTTTTTTTTAAGATTTTATTTATTTATTTGACAGATAGAGATCACAAGTAGGCAGAGAGGCAGGCAGAGAGAGAGGAGGAAGCAGTCTCCCTGCTGAGCAGAGAGCATGATGCAGGGATCGATCCCATGACCCTGGGATCATGACCTGAGCCGAAGGCAGAGGCTTTAACCCACTGAGCCACCCAGGCGCCCCTGAAGTCACTTCTTATATTAAGAACCAGAAAAAAATCTCAAATGAAAAAAGATAATTAATAGATGACAATGCTGAAATGACAGAGGCATTAGAATTATTTGACAAAGATTCTAAAGTAGCCATTATTAGCATGCTTCAATAAGCAATTATGAATAGATATATAAGACAAATAAAAAGACAGAAAGTCTCAGCAAAGAAATATATTTTTTAGAATGGAGATTTTGAATCAAGAAGTAAAATGAAAATGAAAACTCAATGGATGGGCTCAACAGCAGAACAGAGGAAACAGAAAAAAAAAAATCAGTGAACCTAAGGATAAAAACAGAAATTAAACAATATGAACAACAAAGAAAAAATAGACTTAAAACAATCTGAACAGAACTTCAAGATCTGTGGGAAGGAAGAAAGAAACATGGATACATACAGCCAAATACAATAGGCTTTCCTACCCCTGTTAGGTTTTCAAAATTGTATTTAGAGTTGCAGCAACAATTTTAACACTATGATATAGTTCTAAATGCATAAAAAATATTTAAGAAAATCATAGTTGCAAACAGTAAAGGGATAGGAGGTAAGGTTTATACACGTCATAAAAACTGACAAAATGTTGACCCAGCCGATTGTGATAAAATTTAATCCTTATAGCAATCAATAAAATAACTATAAAAAGATACATACACAAAAAATTATAATTAAAAAAATGTCTAAAAAATGTTCAAGTAACCCAGACGAAGTTAGGAAAAAGAAAACAGAAATGAAAAACAGAAAGAGAACATAAAAGAAGACAAAACTAAAAAGGTAGACCTAAGTCCTAAAATACCAATAATTATATTAAAATG